CAAACACTACCTTTATTAATTACAGTGTCTAAGCTAAAGCATGTAGAAGTAAATACTGCAATATGATGAACTGTGCCAATTTCACCACACCTTTGCTTTCTGCAGACGTGGAGCAAAATGCCTCAATAATATTTATACAAGAACCTCACCACACCCTTTGGAAACTCATAAGGTTTTAAATAGTGTTAGAGCATGTCAGCAAGGATTGCTTGGCAAGGGAAGGCTTACAAATTTACTAGTAGGAGGCACACCACAGATCACTATCTACTCTGTTTCAAAATAAAGACACGTGTATTATCGACCAAAGCTTTAGAAGGAGAAAAGATACTCAAAGAATGAATCTCTTTTAAAACTTAAAAACTATTTAAAATTTCAGGTTGATACAAACTTATTATCCTACATAAAATTCCCTTAGAGCACAACCCAAAATCTGTTACAATCAGCCCAGGTGATACATATATAGAGGGTTTTTGTTCAGTTGACAGTATTAGGAAAAGCTCATGCCATGCTCTGGGTGACAGAGGCATCACCCAGAAAAGAGTCCTTCTTAGCATTGAAAAGTTTGTGTTTCTAGTCATAGAATCATGGAATATGCTGCGTTGGAAGGGAGACATCAGGAACACCGAGTCCAATCCTGGCCCTGCACAGAACACCTCAAGAATCACACCATGTGCCTGAGAGTGTTGTGTTAACGCTTCTTGAACTCAGACAGGTTTGGTGCTGTGACCACTTCCCAGAGGAGCCTGTCCCCTTGTGAGGGGAAGAGGAGGGGCAGGCACTGATCTCTTCATCTGATTCTATGTTTGGTACCTACCCCTCCTCTTCCCCTCACAAGGAAGTTGTAACTGCAATGAGGTCTCCCCTCAGTCTCCTCCTCTCTGGGCTGACCAGACCAAGTGACCTCAATCGCTCCTTGTATGGCTTCCCTCCAGACCCTTCACCATCCTCGTGGCCCTACTTTGGATGCTCTCTAGTAGCTTAGTGTCTTTTTTGTACTGTGGTGACCCAAATTTCATACAGTACTCCAGGTAAGGCTGCGCCAGTGCAGAGTAGAGAGCTTAGCACTCTTACTATTTCCTCATTTTCTGTGCCCCTTCTTAGGGCTTTTAACTCTAAATCACACAGAGATTTAAAAAAATAATTACATCAGACCTCCAAAGATATTCAAATCTTCTCAGGTTCCAAAATCCTTTTCATCCCCATGATTCTTGTATCTCCTAAAGTCCTTTTAAAGGTTTGGGGACATTAAAAATCCTTTCATGTTTGAAATTTACTGGCCTGTTCTGGCTCAGCCAAAAACTTAAATAGAGTGCTCTGCTGGCTGAATTAGAAATTCTTCCCTCCCAGGTAAATAAACAGTGCTTATACTGGTATAAAACACTTGAGGATGTCAGGAAAACTGAACAGATTTCCTTCAAACACCACTTCTTCTTTTGATCTTCCCTGAAATTTAGAACATGTTAATTTTGAATTAAAAGAGATTTCCAAGAGCTGTTCAGAGTTGATAGCTAAAATAAGCTACCAATGAGCATGAAAACCAGCCATGGAAAGTTGTATCCTAAAAATACTGTGGGAGAGGAGAAGCTACCATTTTTCTGCAACAGAAAGTCTTTCTCTCCAGATCCTCAAGAGCCTTTACAGAATCACAGAATAATGTTCTGTTCAGACATCAAACATATCACCTACTCCTGAACCCAGATGCTAATGAACAGAGCAACACACTGTGCAGGAAAGTCAAAATGACGTGTGCAAAGTTACACTGAAACTGGAGGAAAACAAAATGCCTCTAAAAGGATGAGATCTGGCCAGGGCACTGATACCCTGCCAATATTTGTTCTAACCAAATAGAAACATGAATGACTGCAGTGAAAGGGCCCACAGGAAGGGCACTATTAACACAAATATAAGTCCTCTAGTGTGCTGCTGTGTTGACTTAGTAATAAGAGGGAGTGAGAGTACCGCTGCTACTGAGTCAGCAGTAGCACCATTCAAAGAGTCGTGTCCTCCGGTGATACTAACTTAAAAGGATACTAGGAAACATTATCAACCCATCACATGGATTTAGCATTTTTGGCGTTTGAGATAATTCTAGTTACTCAGTATGCTATTTTTATTTTTATTTCCTAACTGCCAGCTCAAGAAGTGTTCTAAAAAGGTAGCTTTAAAACCTTGTGCAAAGGCACAAGCCTCTCAGTCTAACCTCGCATTTCTGGGCAAACAGAACACCTCAGGCACTTCTTGTAAGGCAGCAAGCAGGATCACAGGGTAGCTAAGTTACCCCTGCTTTAAAACCAGAAAATCCACAGTAATTGCTCTAAGGGATGAAGTCTTTTCAGGGTATCTATCACTCATTCAACAATATGGTGAAATTTGCGAACATTACACGAATCATTTAAGCCTTGGAAATCACTGAAGGCCAATGTAAACAGATTACAACTTTCCCAGGTGTAATGGAAGCAATTAATTATGCAGTGAGTATCTCTCCTACACTATGCTGCTGTCTAGAAAACCTAACAGATGCATCTAATTAGAACACAATGAAACATGCTCCTTATGCGTTGCTACAATTTTAACAGACCTGAGGGGCAAGAAAACATCCAATTAAAGTAATGCGACACCTCACAAGTAGGAAAGCAACTTTAACAAAGCTTTCCTTTCCCAATTATATTGATGCAGAAGGTTCACCCTTGGCAGGGGATTGGCAGCTGCACACCCATATGCCCTACACCAAATTTTCCAGGTATTTCCATAGTTCATTCCTTATTACAGGATCCTCCATGACAGCTGCTGACCTACAACATAAGTCCATGTTTAACCTATGCTACATAGACAGCATGTCAGAAGAAAGCTCTGAAGGTAGTTTGTGCCACGGAGAGAGACTTTGTGAGTCCTGCTCAGTGTCAAGGAGGCAGCTCTGGAAAGCAACTCCTATCCATGTTTTCAAGGTGGAGTTTTCAACAGTGCAGAGAGGTAAAAAATGAAATAAAGGGCAAAGGTAGGATTACACAATGTTTCATTTAAGGGTCAGACTGGGGATGGACAGCTACAGGAAGGACAATGGAAGAAGGGACAGCATGATTGCAAGGAAAATCAGGGAAGGAGGTATTTTTGTAGCCAAGGAAAGAATAAATGGAATGAAAAATAAGGAATAGATCTCTGTTGTAATACACTGGTCAAACAGCTTTCAGATTGGATGGGGAAACAGAAATGAAGTCTAATTTAAAACCCACATTAGATTCACATAGCAATGTTGCCACTGATAGTACAAGCAAGGGTCTGGTCCCTGTCTCTTAACCTTTCCTATCTCACAGTGACAGCATTTCCCTGCCTGTACAGTCTTAAAATCCTTCAAGATTAAAAAAAACACATTTTTCCAAAACTGAAACCCACCAGGGGTGACCAACTCTTTCTGAGAAGGAAACAGACAACAGAAAAACTCACACATAAGAAGTCACTCTCTTTTTTTCCTGTCTGCCTGTTTCTCAGAGATAAATTCTGTTAGACGAATCATAAAAAAATGTAGGTCAGCAACTGGCTTTTTTTAAACTCTCCAAACCACAAAAGAAAGGTTCTTCAAAGTAGTGTGGGTTCAAGTTGTTACTAGCCTGTTGCCACAAAAGTGTTTATAGAAATACTTATGTAGTCAGTTTTGTAAAGTTCTTGTATGGTATCATTCTTACCATCACTTCACATCCTACTCTGAGGTGATTCAGCTCCTCCACAGGGATGTGGGCTACAGGGCAGAACACATTGCCCAGTCATGAGTCATAAGAACCTTTGCAGAACCGGCCAGGCACACTATAAATTCACCCTACCCTTCATGTGAACTGCAGAAACCTTGGAGACACCTGGAGCAGCAGTGTTTCTTCCTCCAGAAAACGAGGTATTGTAATGATTTCTAGATACTATTTATTTCACACATTCTTGGATGATGTTGCTTTGTTGACAAATGCATAGGAAAAAAGGAAGCAGGGATCTGACTTGGAAACCACTGAATGCTGGGGACAGTAATTAGCTAGGATTGCACAGGCATAGTCTAGAAGATGGAAGTTTTAAAACTATACAGGAGGAGCAATTTATTGTTCAGAGTTTTATAATTTCTAGGGCTCACTGACTAGCATATATATCATAGCAGGGTAAGAACCACTGTGTTTGCTTAAGTCAGCTAATTTGTTCTCGTGCTCTTTAGTTAGAATTATCAGATCAGCTCCTGGTATGCAAGCTATTTGGGAGACAAACTGTTTTTATTCTAAGGCCATCCTATACAAATCAGAAAAGCTCCTAGTCCCTGTCTAGAGCTCCCAGCTAAACCTGCAAGACAGATGACAAATAACAGCATTCATGGTGTACTGAATACAGAAACTTTGTCCTGCAGAAGAACTGGGAAGCTAGGATCTGGGCTAGCACTGTAAGACAGAGCTCATGATGCTTTTGAAAGTCAGAAAGGTAATTCAGGATGCTTAGCATGCAACAGTTGGGTCAGTGCTTGCTCAAGCACAGGAAGTAATCTTTTGTCCTCACCTAAATGAATAATTTGACTCTATTGTTACCAGAGTATTTGTTCACTACAGCAATGAACATCAAAATGCTCTTGCACAAACTGAACCATAAAATTTGTCATAAGGGACATATTCTCTATATTCTCTGGTCTCTCTCTATATATATTCTCTAGTCCAGGCACTGGTGAGTAACATTATCAACTGTTAATTCAAGATGCTGTAAAAGACAGTGCAGCAAGTGTCCTGGTAAACAAATATGAAACAAGATTGGAGACTGGTTTATCCCTAAAAATGATGGCTAGTGCCATCAGAGAAACAGGATAAACTTTATATGACCTTATAGTAGTTAATCCTCCTCATTCTTCATATAGATAGTTTTAGGAAGCCTTTAAATCACAAAAGGAAGTTCAAAAAGTGAAGAGAAACTTGCAGACACATAGCAGTCATAATTAGTGATTTGTTAATAGCATATATTCTCCCTTTCTTTGCAGCTTCAGAACAATGGATGCTTTAAATAAAGCAAACACAAGCTTTGCTCTCGACTTTTTCAAACAGCAGTGTCAGGAAGATGGTGACAAGAATATTTTGTTCTCCCCTTTAAGTATTTCATCTGCCCTGGCTATGGTTTATTTGGGAGCCAAAGGTAACACTGCAGATCAAATGTCAAAGGTGAGTCTGGGCTTCAAAAAGTAGATGTCTGAAAGGGTAGATCTCCTGGAATAATGTCCTCCATGCCAGAATTTAACTGTGATGGAACAGAGGAAAGCCATATATGTATATAGTTTTGATTAGAGTGATTTTTCTGCTTATGGCAGCTCCCGTTTCACCCCTGATGTGCTTTGCAATGAATAGACCAGTTCTCCACTTGTGCAGATCAATTCTACTCTAGTCTCTGCAAATAGGACCCTAAGAAATGACAGAAGCGGCACTGGTGACATTGTCACTCGTTAAATTTCACCAGCAGAAACAAGGGATATTTACCCCAAAGCTCAGTAACTTGAGTGCTCACCAGGGAGTAGGAGACCTGGATTCTTCTTCTACTCTGCCACAGAAAATTCCCATCTCATATCTCCTCTCACTGGAAATGACCCCACAGAAAAAGACGCTCCCTTATAGTTATTATAGGTTTTGCACTTTGCTAAACATAAATCCACATCTCCAAGATTAGAGAAGAAAAAAGTTGAGACTACAACCCTTTCTTTAGGATGTATATTTTATTGGCAAAATCACTGACTGAAATCGCTAAGTTGCACTTGTTCAAAGCTTGTTGTTTCGGCACGTGACAGTGATGACAGCCCTAGTGCACAGTTACCTAACACCTAATGCAGTTATCTACCTCCTATCTAAGGAGGTGAGCCTTGTGAATTTGCATCTGCTAAGGCAGAAGTTGTCCCACCTGCTAGGGCAGTGATGTAACTCCTGATATATGGGACAAAAGAGAGCCAGGATGGTAAAGGAGAAAGGAGTGATCTTCTGTTAGGATGAAGGGAAAACAAAACAAAAGGCACAGCTCTTCTAAAAAATGTTCCAAGGTTGGTCTTACCCCTTTGTAGCCTGGGTAAGGTGAACAAGACCAGAGAAAGGGATTTAAGGCATGAAACTGCTTGCACAATTTTCAGGCTTTCTGACACATAATGCACACTTCATTTAGTCTTCTGTTTTGATAGACTCCATCTGGAGATAATTGCCTCTTCCTAAGGCATAACTCCAAGCAGGCAGATTCCTCTATAAAGACCAAATATGTAAGAGTTTTGCCCTGCAGCCCTCAGCTTAGTGTGCACAAGCCATTTTGTACACTCGAGCCTCAAGACCTAACCAAAGATTTTATATTCAGAAAGGCCTGAATAAAATCTGAGCTTGACTTTCTTCATCACCAGTTCCTGTGACATCACTGAAAATTTTAACAGAAACAGCAAATCTTCTGTTGATCAATTTATTATTGCTTTTTCCACTACAGGTACTTCACTTCAACAAAGTTGAAGGAGCCAAAAACGTCACCACAACCATAAGAATGCAAGTCTATTCCAGAACAGAAGACAGTCTATCAAATCGATGTGCATGTTTCCAGAAGGTACCTCACCCAAGCTAGTGATCAAGCTATGGGCATGGTCACATCTTTTCTTGCTTATATTTTCCTTCCACATTTGCATTTGCTTACGTTTGCCTTTGTCAGATTCAGTGTACACAATTAATTGGTACAGCATCCTGTCATACCCTCACCTAATGCAATACTTATTACATGCTTCCCCTTTTTAGGTAGAATTGCAAAAACTAATCTCAAATTTGCAAAATTTACATTTGGTGCTATCATTCTCTATCAGTAGATCTCTTGTTCTTTCTCTCTTACCTTTGAGGGCAGATTTCTTTCCCAAATTATTACTGTTTAAAAGCTAGCACACTTCCTACCTCAGAGAGCTAATCCCAAGGACAGACCTGCCCTTCCACACATTTCCTTGCATCATCAAGACAACAAAACCAAAACATTAACTTTTCCAAGCTACCTACGCTTCATATGTTTCAGAAATTAGTCTCCGTTTCAACTGAGCAGTTAACAAAATAAATTTACATGTTGGGATTTTCCAAAGTAGATCAGTTGCCTGCAATAAATCTTAGAGAAATGGGAATAATTATATTCCCAAAATATTTCTTTGGCATACTGGCAGCTGTTCCTCCCAAAATATATGTAACTGAACATAGCAGAAAAATACAAAAAGGCAAATGTAATCCCTCTGAGCCAGGAAAAGCTCTTTTTCCTCACTGACAATTCAACCACGGCGGTGTCAAGCTTCTCCCTGCTCTTTGACGTCATCATTATTTGCTGAGGGAGTGAACCATTTCCCTGCAGTCTGCCCACAAAACCCAAACTCCCATGAGTTTTGATGAATGGCTACTTGGATCTCCATCCCATGGTGGGAAGATTTATTTTAAGGGTTATGTCAACATCTCATTGGCACTGCATGAAGAGGAGAGGGATTGTTGGTCATGAGTAATGCTTGTCCTAATTGCAAGAATTACAGAGTGTTATGGGCAAGCACTATGTGTAGTGCTATGGGTTTGAACAGTTTAGAGATTTAAGTGTCTGTTCATGCCTCTGATTTTGATATAATGCCACGACGAATACAGCACAGGTGCAGACTTTTAGTTCACTAATTCACAGCTTATCTTTCTTGAGCTCATTTAAGAGTCTGAGCTAACATTCATTTAATCCTGTTGTTACTTTAATATAAACAACTTACTGCAATTACTGAAACATTAAGAAAACCCAACAAAACAAACCCCATTTGTTTTTAAGAATTTTAAGATTTTTAAGAATTTTAAGAGAGAGATTAAGAAATTAGAGGCAAACCTTCCATGTAACACCCTTGACTTTCATAAATGAAAGCAGTGACAGAGCTAAATCTTTATGCATTGTTTAACAGTTACTCTCTGTCTCTCATTCTCTGGATATTCTAAGTTTCACAATCTTCACTTACAAACCCTTAAATATTTTACATAGTTCAGGCTCTTAAAACTTACATTGTGTACCATATCTGCAACTTTAAAATGATTCTTTTAATAGTGACAGGTTTAGAGCACCTCTTCTGTTGTAATAGAAGTAATAGATCACCTGAAGAGAAATACTTTACTTGGAGCAGTATGAAAGGAAAAATTGGGAATTTTAAACTATTTACATAACAGTTGAATAATAATATTTTTTTTCTTTATTCAAGAAAGAAATTGGCAAATCAGATAATATCCATACTGGATTTAAAGCACTCAACTTTGAAATCAATCAACCTACTGAAAATTACCTGCTTAAAAGTGTCAACCAGTTATATGGAGAAAAATCACTGCCTTTCAGTAAGGTAAGCCTTTTATTCAGATTATGCAGTGCCAGTTAACCTATATAATCTCCCTATGACAATGTAAACCACATACTTTTAAATATTTTCACTCATAAGTGTTTTCTATGAGACTTTTCCTGAGACTTTGGACGCTAAAATTTTAGTTTTATGGGATGTGTATCTAATCTCAGAATCATTTGCAGGTGTAATTAGACAAGAACATTTGAACTGAGCATTTCCACCAAAAAATTACATTGCTCCTTTGACAAAACACTCTGCTTTCATTCATGCAGTTTTTATCTCTGGCTGTAGTAGCACTCATACTGGAGGAGAACAAGCCTAATACTGGTGTCTCTCTTGCACTGTAGGAATACTTGCAGTTAGCCAAGAAATATTACAACGCAGAGCCACAATCAGTTGACTTTGTGGGAGCAGCAAATGAAATCAGAAGAGAGATCAATTCCAGTGTTGAACAACAGACTGAAGGTAAGTTCAAGCCTCTTCTCTCCAAATCAAAAAGAAGCCATTTTGCCCTTCTCTGTAACCAAGCAGCCCACAGCAGGTAAACAATTAACCTCGGAAAGGTAAATCAGGTCAGTTTTCCTAAAGTACTCATCTATTTATAAGCCCTTGCTAAAATTAGTGTCCTCCATCTGAATGTGGGAGAAATACGGCTTGTTCTTCTTCTAATTCTTCAAGATCACCCCAATGTATTTGCATATAATCTCAAGATAGATGGGTGCTATGGCAGCACTTACAATTTCCCTGGCTTATAACCACAGAAACTGTGCCAACACTTGCACTGAAACAGTAAAACTGCACAGATGTGTGAATGTCCTTCTATTTTCTCTAGGAAAAATCCAAAATCTTCTGCCTCCTGGATTCATAGATTCACTCACCAGGCTAGTCCTGATAAATGCACTCTACTTCAAAGGAAACTGGGCAACAAAGTTTGAAGCTGAAGATACCAGGCAAAGGCCTTTCAGAATAAACACGGTATGGGAATATACTGCCCTATATCCTACATTGCATGTGCAGAAAACTAAAAGAGAAATTCCTGTCATGCTTTAAATCCATGTGGCACAATAGTTACTTCATTTAAAGCATACAGTATATTTTCTTCACCACCCCTTCAGCACTAAGGCTGCACACACATAGTATGCCCTGAGCCACAAGTAAAATTATCAGAAGCTGACCTGAAAAAAACTTCCATTCTCTGAAGGCATGAAGAACAAAGAGGTGAACAAAACTCTATGGGTTAGTTTTTTACAAATTCATTTTTAACCATACAACAAATCAGAGTAGAATACAGCTTCCCATAATGGGAGTCATCTGAGACAGCTCAGATAGCTTGTCATGCCTCCAAGTACCTCTCCAGAAGACCAGGGGTCCTCTGAAGATCCTGTGTCCAGCCACAAGGATATCTCAGACAAACTGGGCAGCTTGTAGAGTAAATACAATAATCATCCACTGTGCTATTTTAACTCAGTCCTTTACTGTTCAGAGTACAAATGGAAACTGTCTAATTTGATTTGTTGCAGCATACAACTAAACCAGTGCCCATGATGTACCTGAGGGACAAATTTAACCTAAGCTACGTAGAATCAGTCCAGGCTGATGTTCTTGAGCTTCCATATGTCAATAACGACCTCAGCATGTTTATCCTGCTACCAAGTGATGTCACCGGCTTACAAAAGGTAAAACAACTGAGAACATAAATCATCTGAGAAAATAAGAGTGTCAGTAATTTACTCAGTAATTTACAATGCATGTGTGAGGTAAAAGACCAGGCTGCAGTCATGTTTCTAGGAAGGAGGGGTACTGATCAGGCTCAAGGTAAAGCAAATCTCAAATTTGGTCTAGTACTGTGAACCTGAACCTCTTGGAGCTCAGACAAGATTTCTTACTCTTGGAAGCTAGCACATCTGTGCTTTCTAGTGTTGATCAGTCCTGGAAACAAGTAACCCAAACCCATTAGTTTGTTCCTTTTCCAGCCCAACAAAAATGAGGACAGACAGCCAGCCCTGCTGAGATCCACTGTCTGTATCAATTCAGCCAGATATGATTTCATTCTAAAAAAAAACACGAAAAATTGGGCAGGATGTCCAGAACCGATACGTATGAACACTGCCACCTTCTGTAAAAAGACTGATTCTGCCTTTGGATAACAAACTTAAAAAATTCTCATTTATAGGGTGTTCTGTGAGGGGTAAAACACAAACAAGCTCTTTTCTAAAGAGCTAAATTCCAAAATGCAGGGAAGACAGAACTGGGAACAGAAAATCAACCTATTGTAATCCTGCTATATTCCTCGACAATTATTGAGAACAGTTCAAATACTGCATTGACCAACCACAAGCAACATTGTTGTTTAGTAAAAAAGATTTCCAAACTGGTATTTAACTACTGTTTTTCTTGTACTCTTACAGTAGTTTGAAAAGTCCTCCATTTAAGAAAAGAAAAGAAATGGCCCCTAGGGCACAGGTGTTTGAACATTCTCTAATTTTCTAATTCTCTTTTTACTAACTGCAGCTGGAAAGAGAATTGACTTTTGAAAACTTGTCTTCATGGACCAACCCAGAACTAATGGAGAAAATGAAAATGGAGGTTTATCTGCCAAGGTTCACATTGGAAGAGAAATACGACCTCAAATCTACTTTGAGCAGGATGGGGATACAAGATGCCTTCACAGAAGGTCAAGCTGATTTCACAGGAATGTCAAAGGACGGTGATCTTTTTTTGTCACAAGTTTTTCACAAGTGTTACCTGGAAGTCAATGAAGAAGGCACAGAGGCAGCAGCTGCCAGTTCAGCAGCACTGGCATCACGAAGTCTTGGTGCTACTGTTATTTTTGTGGCAGATCACCCTTTCCTCTTCTTTATCAGGCACAACAAGACCAAGACTATCCTCTTCTTGGGAAGGTTCTCTTCCCCCTAGAAACTCAACAATTACGTAACAGGTTATTGCAACAACAATAATGAACAAAATACAGACCACAAAGCGCATCTCAATAGTCTTTGCACAAGTTAACTTTACTGTTGACAAATCTCTCAATATTAGAAGAGAGTACATATTAAAAATAACCATGAATTGATGCCTCTGGCTCATTTTCCTGTCCAAAGAACTAGCACTACCCTGTAAGTATCAGACTGTGCACGGAACAACATCGGTGTGTCTTTTCAGTACTTTCTGAACCAGAACTGCCACCATTCAGAACACATATATTTTCAATATATGTGTTTTGGTGCCTAAGAAGAAAAGAAAATCTTCCTCCAGAATGCTGCTCCACCTCCATTAGTTTCAGCTCACTCTGCTGATCCCCACAGGAGGGTTACCTCATCCACATTCTTGTCAGTTTTTTTACCAATTTTGTGGCCTTGCAGAGCTGATAATTAAATAAACCTGCAAAATCCTCTGTGTTCCTGGTACTGATGCTTCTTTTTTTTGCATGAGAAGAGGCTAACACATGTACTTTCTAATCTATGGCCCACAGCAATTGGAAAATATTGAACAACACTACAGAACTGGAGGAAAATAAAACCTTGAAACCTTCTCCTTTGTAATCTTCCATCCACACAATACGGTTTCCACCCTAGCACAGCACAGCTTTGCTCTCACTTTGCTTTGCCACTTATTCCACTCGCTAGAGGTAAGATCAAACAGGAGAATTAAATCTAATTTAATGCAAGTAATATGTACTCCCTAAGTGCTTTCAGGAAGATGGCATGAGAAACTCCCCAGGTCATATTTACTCCTGTCACAGCTCTTTCTCCTAAGAGAGTGTCCTAATCAGTCTTGCATGTTTGCTGCAAGTGCTCCTGACTTCCTGAATTCACAACAGAGAATAAAGAACTGGTGTTCTTAATGGACTTGCATGCGCCAACAGCATCTTACTAGAAATACATATTCTCGGGACAGCAAGACTCCCTTTTCCTGGCAGAAAAGAGACTGCTGACTGTTACTGAGTTGTTTCTCTTCTAAGTGCTCAGCTGTTTCCAGGGTTCCTTCTGGTTCTGCTTCCCAAAGGGGAAGGAGCATAGGAAAAGTGCCATGAAGCAAGTGCTTTATATTACCCCTATGCAACTCCAGCAGCACTGGCTTCGGTCTGTCTCAGTTGCGAGACATGACACAGGATCCCTGTGAATTCAGGTCTAATTCTGCCTTGCTTCACCTAATACTTACTGCATGTCCCCATGGACAAGCATCTTAAGCACTTCCTGATGTGTCTTGGGAATAAAGATAGGAAAGCCACACCTGAGAGGCCAAGGAGAAACAAAATCATGACAACATGCAAACAAACTCACTCACAGGCCTTTAAAGTCAATGGAAACTTGAGTCACCTTTTCTCTCTCCTTCAACTATTTTAAGCACGATTGCAAAGATGACAGACTTCATGTCCTCTCCTCAGTGCCAGATCATTATTAAATGGCAATGGCCACAACGCCTGAAGGGTGAGTTGTATGTTAGGGAACAACATTTTTCCAAGGTGAGCAGCCCTGCACTGGAGAAGGTTGCTCAGAAATGCCTCTTTCAATGAATATTTGTAATTATTTTCTCTCCTGTCAAAAGCCACTCTGCCTTGCCATCTCCCTTTCTCAACCTGCCTGGCATCCTTGCATGTTGACTAGCAAAGGCAGCTAGCTTGTGCACTCTCACCATACTTCTTTGGGACTTGGGAGTCTCCTGGCCTGAGCTTTCCTACCACCTAACCATTCAGCTTACCTTTCTGCTACCCAGATTTCTTGAGGACTTACTGATCATACTAAAACTAACACTGGTTTAAATTAGACATTTCTCTACTGCCTTGCACAACATTGATTTCTGCCATTTTTTAGAATTCTTAACCCACTCTGTTCCTGTAATCAGGCTTGCAGCAAAATGCTTAGCACACAGTTTCCTTCCCTTCTGTCATCTTCCCCTGTCCTCCAGTTGGGTCTTACAGCAGTTGCCACCACCTTCTTCTTTCACCACTGTCTCCCTTCTGGGACTGTAGAGTGACAACTATGGTCCATGTTTCCCTCCACTGTATGTTTTCACTCCAACCTTGCTCAAGCCCTCCCAGTGGGGTTTTTTCAATTGTTGTCCTCCTTTACTACATGTGAGTACTGTGCAGTAACTCAGTGTTTTGCAGTGTTTCTCTCAATTGATTCCCATTCATGGTTGCAATGAGATTTCTTCACCAACAGAACCAGTGAGGTGTCCATCCCTTACCCTCTGTGTGGTCCATCATGGCTTTGGCTCTGTCTATGCTTGAACCTGGACACCTAGTGTCTAATTCAATCACTAAGCTTGATGTTTTATGCTGATGTACTGAATTTGAAACCCAGGAGTTGCAGCTGCACAAAGCTAGTGAGGAGAATCAGGCCTTCAATACCTGTTTAAATCCAGAAATTAGAAAAAAAAAAAAAGGTATTGTATAACCTTTTTACTAGTCACTTATTTTAAACAACAGACTTGGTTTCTCCACAACACCAGAAAACCTTTGGAATGCATGACCTGCTCTGCTATCCTGTCAGTAGACTACTGTGGTGTAACAACAGAGCTGAGATTTTAATTCCATTGTCCTTTGGAAATGTTTAAAATGGAAAAGTGATACAGTCAACAAAGAGGCCAAAATTACATAAAATCTTTTGGGGATGTGATAGAAAGGAGCTTTAGGTAGGAGGAAACAACACGGATGTAGGGGAGAAGGAAAGGGAGGTGCAAGCAGTACTATGTTCCTTAATTTAAAAATTGCTTAACACACAAGCACAGAACCTGACAGAGGACAAGATCTAAGTCTTCTCTCTCATGGGATCAGAGGTAAATATTTAAACTAAAATATTTAAACTTAGATTAATAACTTCTATAATGCTTTTACAAAGCAATCTGCATCATGCATGACAGTACAGATAAATTATAATATACCAGTGTTATAGCACATATTTCTTGCCTTGTGTTTTTCTAAATGTCAGCCATAAGAGAATATAAATCTTGAGCCTAAGGAAAACTGCCAGTTTGGGGCAGAATCGATTACAAGAAGGAAAGTTTTCTTAGGGCAGTAACTGCCTTTCAATTAAAATCCTCAGTTCAATAAAAGAGTTCCATATTCTGGGTGAAGGCACATTAAGGGACTCAGAGGAGTACTCATTAGCAGAAAACAGAGAAATTTCCATCCTGATGCTCTCTTGGTTGTGTTCTCCAAGGGGGGAAAATCACTCAGTGGTACAGATGTGGTACTGACAGCCCACTGGCTGCCAGAAGAACTGTAGTGGTTTGGCAACCAAACACTTGATAAATATCTGTAAACTTCAGAGATTTCTCCACAATTTCTGATGCTCCATTCCATAGATACAGATATTAATAACAACAACAACAAAATCAGCATTTTTGGTCTCTTTGAGGGGAAAACGACATGAAGCAGCTACTACTGGGCAGATATCCTAAATTCTGGAGTACTATAACCTCCACATATCTGCCCCCTTCTGGGGAAAATAAAACTGCTGGAACATACAGAAGGGGTGGTAGGTATACATATAGTAAATAAAACTCCATGAATCTAAATGGAAATACCAGCTTTGCTGTTCATGATACTATTCAGAATAGGTGGCTGGTTAGGAAAAGAAAGTGAGCCTAAGAATTATGCCTAAATTCTTTCACGGTATCAGCTCTCAGTTCTATACAGATCCAAAATGAAGCAGTGGGAAACTCAGTCATGTTGTGAACCAATGTACTAAAAATGCATTTACAGTCCCCCTGCGAACAATACTTTGATAAACGGTTAGTTAAGGACAAAAAGGAAGAAAAACACACAACTTACAAATCTGTATAGTTTTTAAAACCAAGGGCAGAAAGAAACATGAAGGAAACTGCAGCTCTGTAAAAGAGGACATATTTATAATCAGTTGAAAATATTTGGCTAACAAAAAAACTAGAAGAAATTGCTGCTCCTAGCAGGTGGCAAACAGTACCTGTGTGGAAGATAAATACACAGCTATTAGTTTTAGTTGATGTCAATGCATTGTGTTGCACATGTAACATTTCTCACTAATATGTTTTGCGTACAAAATTTTAAACATTCAAAAAGTACAATTTTGTCTGTTGCCTCTTTCCAGGCTGTAGCAATGGAAGTGGTCTCGACCTCCATTGGCAAGTTTACGGTTGATCTTTTCAACAAGCTGAATGAGACCAACAAGGGAAAAAACCTTTTCTTTTCCCCTTGGAGCATATCAGCTGCTCTGGCTCTGACACACCTGGGTGCAAAAGGGAATACAGCAACTGAGATGGCAGAGGTAGGTTGCTCTATGAAACATGCACCTCATACAATAGCTAGCTCCTGTATTAGCTACAAATCTTAGTGTTAGAAAAACTTACCACCATAATGACAAAGAACTAAGGCACATAACAAGTGAATGGCAAATTTTAATAATGTCATAGCACATCACTTTCTTCTCCACTAAGAGAAAGTGTCCTGCTGGTATCACATGCTGAGCAGAAGGTTCTTTGAACCTGACTTCTTTTAAATTATTTGACATCTTCTAATTTATCTTATGATTCCATAAGATAATGACCATGACTTGGTCACAGATGGATATTGCCTCTGAGAAGGAAAAAGCTGATGCCAATAGTTCCTAACTAATTGGTAGGAGGCTTGGAGATTCCTGCATTCTCCCTCTCTACTCTGACCAGGATGCATCCTTCTATCTTGATTTATGCTTTCCTAAACAACTGCCTGACAATCCAACAGGAAAACAGGAAGGGTTTTGCTATATCCACAATCTCTAACCCAATCCTACTTAACATAACATGGGCACATTGCTGACTCAGAAGGTGCTGTGGTGCTCAGCACTGCCCAGCACTCTCCTCTGCATCACTGCACTCTGTTCAGAGGCCTTTGTACCATTATCATGGGAAGATCCATTTGGGCTTGCACAAACACATTCCTGTTGCTGGAAGCAACAGCTATGGAAGGGAGATCTGCCTTGCAATGTGCAGACAGAAGCACTGTGAGAGGGACAGAGGGAGAGGGACAGAGCTAGTCATTGTTATCCTATGGGATTTATGTATACGGCAGCTTCAGTATCCCTTTGATTAGTGACCTAAGCAGCAGACAGCACAGTGAATTATC